TAAATTTTAGAAGATATAATACACTAGAAAACTTACTGGATGACTTAACAACAGTTTCCTGCTTAATATTCTAAAATAATTTAGGTTTTCCGCCTAAAATAAGTTTTTTCTGGCAAATAGTAAGTCTTCTGAACGTATAAAAAGTCTTTTGGGTGAATAATATGCCTTCAAAGTAAGTCTTCTCAAATAGTAAATTTAAGACTAGTAGAAGACAAGTAAGTCTTCTGTATCGAAAATATTTAACCTAATTTGAATTTTTTTTATCTTCTTATATAAAGAAAATGTACACATTCTATTTATACCTCTCAAATAGAGGCAAAAAAATGTAATATTTCTCATTATAAAACCCTGAACCTCTCTCTAAACTATTTGAATTTGATAACATCAAAAATTATACCAATTTTCACATTTTATGTGTTTCTCACTATTTTATCTTGTTTTTGCAGGTTTTTCATTACATAATTGTCATCTTTCATTCATTTAAAGGTAGATCTATAACTTTTTGATATGTATTTTTGTGTCTTTTATATGTTAGATTCTAATAAGTTATAGATTCAACATAATGTGATTAGTTTTGTTATTATTTAAGCTTAAATACATTGTTTTTGATTTTTTTCTCTGTTTTGATGCCAATTAAACGTTTTTGGATATGCAGTTTTTTTTCAGATCCGAGTCAGACATTGGAAGACTTACAGAAGACTTATACAAAACTTTCAGAAGACTTTCCTAGAAGTCTTTTGACATAGTCTTAGTCTTCTTCCATATCTCCTCTTTCACAATAGACCTGAGCATTTTGGTAATTTTTATGTCTGATTTTTCTTCATTTAGGAATCTCTTGTTGCTTAAGTCTCTTATCTTTTTTTCCAAACTAAAATTCTTCAACCTCTCTTTAATCTTTTTAAACATGAAAAAACCAAACTTTGTATCAATTTCTCATTTGCTCATGATGTCTTTCTTACTAATTGATCTTGTTTTAGCAGGTTTTATCACATTTTTGGATTTGAATATTTTTCAGATATGAGCCAGACGTTTATATGTTAGATTCTAATAAGTTATAGATTCAACATAATGTGATTGTTTTAGTTATTATTTAAGCTTAAAAACATTTTTTTCTCTATTTTGATGTCATTTGAACGTTTTTGGATATGCAGGTTTTTTAGATCTAAGTTAGACATTGAAAGATTTACAGAAGACATTCAAAAGACTTTCCTGGAAGTCTTTTGACGTAGTCTTAAGACTTCTGACAAGTCTTCTCTCATCAAGTGGAGTCTAAGTTTATCTTGTAGAGTAATGATCTATAATAGTTTTGTCTATAGTCTGTTTAGTGATATATATTTGTACTCTTTAGTTGTGATTTTTTTTTGTAAATTTGAATAAATATTAATGAAAATATGGTAAATATGTTTATTTTCCAAAATTACTTTACATTATTAAAGTAAACAAGAGTAAAATAAGAGTATGGTTCCATGCTTGTAAAATCAGTAATGATGTTTCTCAAGATGTAATATATGTGATAACAATGTGTTCTTCACTTTTACAAATAAATTAAATAAAAAATTTCAGTGGTCTTCAAATTCAAAACATGATGTTCACTGTGTAGTTCTTCTCATCTTTGGATGTCTCATACTTTGCAAAAAAAAAGTTTAAGATAATTTTTTAATACCTGTTTAAGATAAATTAAAAACAATATTTACAAAAGATTCAATAGATTTCGTTTTTTTAAAAAATATCTATAATTGTTGAATCTGTTACTTTAAATATAAAAAATATTACCATGATAAATACTTAGGAAATATTAGATTGGACAATTTAGTAAATTTATATATACAAAAGTGTATTTTTCAAAAAGTTTAAATAATAGTGTAGTTTTCAAAAAAAAATTTCATTTAAGTATATCTCTCTAAATTTTCCCAAAAAAAATTAATATTAAGTGAATTTTCATCCCATACACACCACTTTTTCCTTAATTAAGTTCATATCCTAAATCTCACACCATGATACCTTTGTTGTTAGACATTAAACTTTTCATAGGTAGTTTGTTGATTTAATCATTCTTTTTGAATATCTAGTCAATTAACTCATATATTAATTAACGTTTTATACAAGGTTATTTCTAAGATAATCGCTAACAGGTTAAAAGGTATCCTTCCCCATTGCATTACTCAAAACCAGTCTGCTTTTGTGAGAGATAGATTGCTGGTGGAGAATTTGTTGCTTGCCACAGAAATTGTTAAAGATTATCACAAAACAGATATTACTCCGAGGTGTGCAATGCAGATTGATATTGCGAAAGCTTTTGATTCTGTCCAATGGAGTTTTCTTCTGAACACTCTTCGTGCTCTTAACCTTCCTGATGAATTTGTGCACTGGGTTCAGTTATGTGTTTGTACTGCTTCCTTCTCCGTTCAAGTGAATGGTGAACTCGCAGGTTTTTTTCAAAGCAAAAGGGGTCTAAGACAAGGATGTGCTCTGTCTCCGTACCTTTTTGTTATCTGCATGAACGTCCTGTCTTATATGCTTGATCAGGCTGCGGCTCGAAAGCAGATTGGATACCAACCACGATGTGAGAAAATTCTTTTAACACATTTATGCTTTGCAGATGATTTGATGGTGTTCACAGATGGGAGAAAGGATTCTATTGAAGGTATTCTCAGAGTTTTTAAAGATTTTGCTGAAATGTCTGGGTTGCAAATCAGTCTTCAGAAGTCTACCTTGTATATTGCCGGAGTTGATGAGAGAAACGAAGATGAGATTCTCCACATGTTTCCTTTTGCTTCGGGTAACCTTCCTGTCCGTTATCTTGGCTTACCCTTGCTAACTAAGCGCATGACTGTTCAAGACTATCTTCCTTTGGTTGAGCGTGTTCGTAAGAGAATGAAATCTTGGACCGGGAGATTCTTATCTCATGCTGGGAGGCTTCAGCTTATTAAGTCGGTTATCACTAGCCTCACTAATTTCTGGATGCAAGCTTTTAAGCTTCCAGGCAGCTGCTTAAAAGAGATTGAGAGTCTCTGTTCGGCTTTTTTGTGGTCGGGACCTGCTCTTAAGACTAGTAAAGCGAAAGTAAACTGGAGTGATGTTTGTTTGCCAAAGCAGGAGGGAGGTCTGGGGATTCGTCCGTTAAAGGAAGTGAATAAAGTTCATTCTCTAAAGTTGTTGTGGAGATTTTTTTCAGGAAAGGAATCGCTGTGGGTTCAGTGGATTCACTGCTATCTTGTTAAAAAGAGATCCATTTGGTCGCTGCGAAGCAACATGATTACTGGGTCTTGGGTTTGGAGGAAATTGCTCAGGTTGAGAGATGATGCAAAGTGTTTCCTTCGCATGAAAGTGAACAATGGTGCTGATACCTCCTTTTGGTTCGACAATTGGTCAAGTCTGGGATGCTTACATGATGTTTTAGGTGACAAAGGTTGCACTGTTTTGGGAATTCCTCGTGATGCAGTAATTGCGGATGTCTTGGGAACTCGAAGAAGGAGAAGACACAGGGATAATATTTTAAATAGATTGGAGGATGATATTGATCATATTCGCGAGAAGAATAGCCATGAGAAAGACCTTCCCGTTTGGAAGCAGAGAGAAGGGGTCTTTGAAGGAAGGTTCTCTGCTAAGAAAACATGGAATCAGGTGAGAATATCCCAGCAAAGCTCTGCATGCATATGGAAGGATGGTCTTTGGTTTCCTCACGCCACGCCAAAGTATGCTTTTCAGTTATGGATTGCAATTCGCAAGCGCTTGCAAACTTGTGATCGAATGCAGAGGTGGAATATAAACATCAACCCGGTTTGTGTGTTGTGCAATGAAGATGATGAAACTTGCCAGCATTTGTTTTTTAGATGTGGGTATACAAAGCAAATTTGGAGAAGTTTGGTGGGGGGAATTCTCCAAAGTTATTTTACTATTGATTGGGATGAGATTATTGAGATTATCTCAAGCTCATGGTGGAATGCCACCAAGATGTTTATCATTCGTTACACCCTGCAAGTTGCAGTCCATTCTATTTGGAGGGAACGTAATGCAAGGAGACATGGAGAGTTGGCCAAAGCTGCAGACTGTATCACAAGATTCATAGACAAGATGGTCCGGTTAAAGCTTTTATTGGTTCAGGGGCAGGGGAAGGAGTATCTGGAGAAAGGTTTAAGTACCTGGTTTGGTACTAGGCTTGCGAATGAGAGTACATAAAGGTTCGTGGTTGGGATCGTCTGAGTGGTGTGGCAGGTTTTGAGGAAGAAGCTTTGGATGTTTATTTGATTTCGTATGGGTTTGGTTTTCATGCTTGCTGTGTTTTCCTCCTACACCCTTCTGATGCATGATCTCCCACTCTTTTTCCTCTTTATGGTTTTGTCCCATTTGGGTTTTCTATAAGGAGGTTTTAATGAGGGGAGTATCATGGATCATCCCAAAATCTGACTTGTTTCACATGGTTAGGTTGAGGGGGGTGCTAGTGAGTAGTTCTGTTTTTGATCTGTTTTTGATCTTTTCTCTTTTGATTGTATTTGGGGTTTTGTAGCCTCTTTAACTCAGATGCACTTGTTGTAAAAACGTTTTTTGCTTGAATAAATTTTACATTCATTCAAAAAAAAAAGACCTTAACACCGCGGAACCGAAATGATATAACCACATTCTTCCCTAAACACCGCGGCGAAAATAAGTAAAAAAGTTGGTTCGTCGTTTTTCTCTCAAACATTGGATTTTGAAAGACTTATTTTCAGTTTTCCTCAGTAATAAATTGCTTACCAGTAGCATTTTAACCATACCGAATTTCTGTTTGGTACGTATCTGTTAAGTACGCACTCCTCCTCCAGTCGTAATCTGACTTTTTCAAATTTGATTTTTGATCATCATCAATGGCGACAGCCACGTCTTCTCTGCTGCAGACTCTCAAACCAAAGAGACACCAACAACGAACCAAGAACCGATTCAGCAAGACGTTGTAAACGAAGTCACATACAAGACGAAATCGATTCAGTTCCTTGGACACAACACTCCCATCATCCTCCAAAATGAGGACGGACCTTAGTGTTTAGAAACTGGAACGTATAAACTCATGATAGTTATGTAACAAACAGGTAAGTTCTTCTTGAGGAACAACTTGAAGCTGAGTCCTGACTGTTACGAGGTTTCTCAAGAGTGGTTGCTCTCCCTCGTCGTGGATAGGTTGATTGATTCCAATACTAAATTCAATGTAAGGTTTGTCTATTATGTTAGTCTTAATGTCTTTTTTCATCATGGCAGAATAAGGAGGAAGGGTATGTTGAGAATCAGCAACAGAATATTGCTGATGCCATTGATCTTCTTCCACGGCTTACAACTGGAATTGATGTCAGTATCCAATTCATCAGGTTCATATCTTTTTGTGACATTGTAGAGAGTCTTATCATAAGTCATAACGATGAATCTTTATTTCGTTGCAGGATTGATGATTTTGAGTTCACACCTGAGTGTGCAATATTTGATTTACTTGACATTCCCTTGTATCATGGATTGACACCACTGTAGTTTTATGTGTGCATTGTGTGGATGTTTGTTGCTTTCTTGAGGTACAAAAAGTGCGATACTTTGTCTGAGTGACTCCTTCTACCTGTCTTAATCATCTACGTTTTTATTCATTGCTTTATTTTCTATTGTGCTTTTGTGTGTTCAGTGTCCACTGTTTGGAACTGTGGATGTTTGAGATGTAACATAACGATGTCTGTTTATGGCTCTCTAGTAAAAGATGCAAAACGTAGGCTGCTCTATTGTTTACATGACTCGTTAAGGATAGGAGCAGTGGCAAAGATAACTGTGTCTTTTTAGATGGTGTCTTTATCAATGCTTGCTCTCTAGTAAAAGATTTGATTCTATTGCGTTTCCCTTTTTTTACCCTCCAGGATGTTGAAGCAGCTAATGCAATTGGAAGCAAGTCATATAATGCTGTAATGGGTGAGCTCGTTGCACTTGCGGCGCAGAATGCAGTCTCAAGGCGACCAGAACCCGGAAGATGATTCTGTTGATTTTGCTGCGGCATTAACCACTGCTGCTTTAGGGGTTCCTTCACCGTGTCTTTTGAAAACAAGATCTTTCGATGTCTCTCCATCTGCAGCTCATAGGGATTGTATCTTACAGCTTCTTTCGCTTGCAAGAAGGCCTTAAAGAAAGGTGAACTATGTGTGTTTTTCCGCAACAATCATTTCTGCACCATGTTCAAGGTTGGTTTAATTTAATCTGTAGACATTTATGACTGCAACAGGTTGGTTTCCAGTTAAATACTTCTTGTTGCTGTCACTTTTGTAGTATGGAGGGGAACTTTATCTTTTGGCTACAGATCAAGGTTACCTGAATCAGCCTGATTTGGTTTGGGAAAAGCTAAACGAGGTCGTCTTACTCACCTTTTGTTTTAGTTACTGGGGTATTTGTTTTCGACTCATAAGTCATAACTTTATTATTAGATGGAAAATATATAACAATATTCTAGAAAAGCAGAAATGAACATAAAATCTGTTTAGGTTTTTTCTTTCACAAGTAAATTTGTGATCGCAACATCTAACGTTAATGAGAATACCGTTTCTTTTTTTTCTAAATATTCATCATCAGTTATTGTATTGACTATTACAGGTACGAAGAAGCAACTACAGGCCATCATTCGCTGCAGCGTCTGCGTCTCCAAGACACGAAGGCAAATCTTCTAAAGATAGCAAATGTAGAATAATGTAAATCTTCATCATGTCACTCCTGTAAATTTTAAACTTTTTTTAACCTAACTTTTTTTTTTGTTTAAAAAACTTGTTAGTTGGTTTATTTAACAACCAATTAACTTAAATCTACTTTTTTCTTTGAATAAAATGTTAAATTGATTCAAAAAAAGAAAGACCTTGTTACACAGTGTCTTTTCTAAAATTTTGCAAAGACAATTAAAACAAACAAGTAGAAACAGAGATTCTCTTCAAATCGTCAATCCTCTTCAATAGAATCCATCATCCTTTATCAAACATGTCTAGCACTCACTCCTACTAGACACCCAGCTCTAACTCCTACTGGTCTCCATTCCTCCCTGACCTTCTTACCCAGCTCTCGCTCCTACTAGGTAACCAGCTCTCACTCCTACTGGATCATTTTTCACTCCTGATGTGCGCTTCCTATCTCCATTAGTTTTGCCTTGTAGCAAACCAATAAGCCATTCCTCCCTCATAGTCTCCTCTTCCTTTTCATCCAATGACTGTAAATCTGTTTCTCATATTCTTATCCAGAAGTTTAATCAACAGTGTTGCTGGTGAATGGGGTTCACCGTGTTTCCTTCTGTTTCTCTCCCTCCAGATACTATGAATAATTGACTGGAACATATATCGAATGACAAAGAGCTTGATTTTTCCCTGAGAGTTATTCAACATAAGCCTCATCACATCATCCCACTCAGTTGTGTATTGAACATATATCGAATGACAAAGAGCTTGATTTTCCCTGAGAGTTATTCAACATAAGCCTCATCACATCATCCCACTCAGTTGTGTATTGATCACATAATACTCCTTTCATCAATACCTCCCAAATATGCGCAGAGTAAGGGCATTCAAAGAAGAGATGCCTTCTTGTCTAAATAGGATGTTGACAGAAAATACATGACGATTCTATGTTAACATTCCAGCTTCGCATACGTTCTCCTGTGGACAGTCTATCTTTTATAGCGGTCCATAGCATGAATGAGTACTTCGGTGTGGCGTACTTAAACAAGACTGCTCTCCACCATTGGCATTCTTGCTGCCTTTCTCTTACTACCTTCCAAGTCTCCATGGAAAAAAAAATTTTCTTGAATTTATTTTTCTCATTCCTCCACATTGAGATGTCCTCTTCCTCCACAATATTATTCTTATACCTCTCAATTTCTACTTCTACTCTGTTAAGAATTGGTGTCCGATGATGTCTTCTCTTATGATTCATGCTGACACTCACAGCTGCGTTCATAGGAATACCCAAATCAATACTTCCTCTTCTCTCTAAAATATCATTTAGACACCCCAGCGAAGACCATGTTTCGTGCCAGAAAGAAGTTTTCTTTCCATCCCTTACCTCCACTTTATAAAAACTCTTTGCAACATTTCTACACTTCAGGATTTTTCTCCACATCCATGAGCCTGATTGTGTAGTATCCTTTAGCATCCATATAGACCCCTTCCTTATCAGATAAACATTAATCCAATTCACCCAAAGCGAGTGAGAAGTTAAAACCCTCCAAATAAGCTTCAAACAACTCACGAGATTTACTTCTTTTAATGGTCTTATACCTAAACCACCTTCCTCCTTAGTTTGACAGATCTCTTTCCAAGATATTTTTGCCTTTCTTCCATTAAGCTCCGGCCCTGACCATAAAAAAACTGAACATAACCTTTCTACTTCTTTGACACACGCACTTGGGAGACGAAAGGCAGTCATCCAGAAGTTAGTTAAGCTTGTAATATCTGACTTAATCAGCTGTAACCTTCCAGCATAAGAGACAAATCTGCCATTCCAAGTACTTATCTTCTTTCTGATCTTCTCGATCAAAGGGAGATAATCTGCGACCGTCATACCTCGAGTTAGTAAAGGTAATCCCAGGTACCTAACAGGAAGCTTCCCTGCCGCAAATGGAAATTGATTCAGTATATCTTCCTGATTCAAATTAGATATCCCCGCCATGAACAACGTAGAATTCTCCAAACTAATCTTCAGGCCAGCCATTTTATCAAACTTCGCAAAAACTTCCAGAATTCCCTCCACAGATCTCTTATTTCCCTCAGCAAAAACTATCAAATCATCAGCAAAACATAGATGCGTCAAATCTATGTTCTTACACCGAGGATGATATCCAATTCTCCCCTTACTTGCTTATTCATCTATCAGTTTAGATAAAACATTCATACAGATTACGAAAAGATACGGGGATAAAGAACACCCCTGCCTCAATCCTCTTCTGCTTTGAAAGTATCCTACCAATTCGCCATTAACCTAAACTGAGAAGGATGCTGAAGTTATACACAAGGAAATCCAATGTATAAACCTCTCCGGGAGACCACGAGCTTTAGCATATTTAGAAGGAAAGACCACTGAACAGAATCAAAAGCTTTCGATATATCAATCTTCATGACACATCGCGGAGAAACATCCTCCTTATGGTAATCCTTAACTAATTCAGTCGCTAATAAGACATTTTCCATCAAAAGTCTCTCCTTCATGAACGCAGACTGGTTTAAAGATATACACTTTGGTAATACCAACTTTAATTTATTTGCAAGGATCTTTGATATTACCTTGTACAATACGTTGCAGCAAGATATCGGCCTGTAGTCTCTCATATCTTGCGCTTCATCTATTTTAGGTATAAGAGCCAGAATGGTGGAATTTATCCCTTTTAGAAGAAATTCTTTAATAAAAAAAGATTGAATGGCCACCATGATATCATCTCCTATTACTGCCCAAGATTCTTTAAAAAATTCCACCATGAAACCATCAGAGCCTGGTGACTTATCTCCTGGCATTTTGAATAAAACATCCTTGATCTCTTCTTTAGTAACTGCTCTCTCCAACATAGCACAATCCTCCATACTGCAGTTAAATCTCAACAACTCTTGAAGCCTTTCCACCAAAGCTCCTTCAAACCCCAAAGGTTGATGAGACATAAATTCTGCAAAAAATCTCTCCGCTTCTTCTTTTATCTCTTCATCTGTGGTAGCCATGTTACCATTACTGCATCTTATTTCCCGTATTGCATTTCTCACCTCCCTTATCTTTACAGCATTATGGAAATATTTGTTGTTCCCATCCCCCACATCTAACCAATGAGTTTTCAATCTCTGCTTCAAAAATTCTTCCTCCAAATCAGATAATTTTTTCCATCTTGTGTAAGCCTTAAGCTCCTCCCTGATTGTTACTGTATTATGACTCTCCATTGTAGTTTTTTTGCTTTTCACACAACATCGAGTAAGCTTCCCTCGTTCTTCGAATCAAATCTCCCATCTTATCTTTACTTAGAGATCGCAGTAACGGTTTCAGACTCTTAAGCTGTTTTGTCAGTTTATATGTTGCTGCCGTAGAGATAAATAATGGCTCATACTCTTTCCAGTAATTCTCAATCAAAGGTAGAAACTCCGGCATCTTTGCGATTGAATTCATGAATTTAAATGGCCTTCTCTTTCTCCTCTCCTTCACATCAAACTGAATCCTACAACGCAAGTGATCAGAACACCCTCCAGTCTCAAACACACAATATGCTTGTGAATTATGCAACCACTCCTCATTTACCAGTACTCGATCAAGTTACTTACAGATCAAACCTTCCTCCCTCTTATTACACCATGTATATTTTGAACCTTGGTACCCCATGTCAGTGAACTTGCAGTATCTCACCGTTTCTTGAAAAATTCTCATACCAAGAGGTATCCTAGGAGAGTCCTCAAAAGCAGAATGCTCTCCCCCTTCTAAAATTTCATTATAGTCCCCCATCATTACCCAATTCTTATTCCTGAACATTGCTGCATCTTGATGATTCCTCAAGTCCTCCCATAATTTTTTCCTCCCTTCCACATCATTTAAAGCATAAATGAAAGAACAAAAAAATTCTTCTGACTTTGCCGCCATAAGCACCGAACAAGTGATCATCTGATCACTTTTAAACACTGGAGTCATTCTTACTAAACCTTTCCAAACAACCCAAAGCCTTTCCAATTTGTTAATTTCATAGTTGGATATCATATCCCAACCACGAGAAACCTCTAAAAAAATCTCCCCTGTCTTTTTCTCCTTTATTCTTGTTTCAATCAAACATTCAAACTGCATTGACTGCTTATTTACCGAGTTTCTAACTACTACTTGCTTAGTTTTTTTATTAAAACCTCTGATATTCCAAAAAAGACCCTGACATCAAGGATTTTTCTGAGTTCCCCTTTTCATATTATCAGTCTTCTCTTTAAAAGTAGAGACCCCCGGAATTATCTTATGATTTGTTTTTGATTGTCGAGGTAGTCGTTGCCTTCCCCCTTCATTTTCTAGCATCTTCACTACTTTGTTCCCATATTTTCTCAGATTCTCCATGTTTTCTTTTTCTTTTTCCTCTTCCAAATCTTCAATTTCAACTGATTCCTTTTCCCAGTCCTCCTCTTTCTCTTCTTCATGTTCTATTTCTTCACCACTTTCTCCAATATTACTCAGAGCTTCAAATCTGGACGGGGTGACAATCTTCTCATGTTGTAACTCCTGCGTTTTCGGACTTCTACTTGCCTTTTCTATTGACACCTCATTCCATGCTTCTTCTATCTGTTCCCTTCCACTTCAGTAGCAGATGTAACCATGTTTTCCTCTATCTTCTCATTACCCTCCTCAAATGATTTCTCTACTAGTATCTGTTGTTTCATCTCCTCTTTCTTATGCAAACCACAGAATTCCACATAATGTCCCCATTTTCCACAAGAAATACATTTTGGTGGGAGTCTCGGGTAGCTAAACCCCACTGTTATCTCTTCTCCTTGGATAGTGAAATTTATCTTCTCCGGTAGCTCTTTGGATAAATCTGCATTAACAAACACATTTGCTTCTTCAAAGTTTGTACAAGCAATGGTATCTGGATGTAAACGATCTGGGATCCCTGCTCCGCTAGTTATAAAACTCAACCCTTCCCAAGAATACATACTCACATGAACCCCTTTTAAATGTACCCACAATGGTAGCAGCTTTGCCTTTGATTCATCTTCTTTCGGTGACCATTGTGAAACCACCATGGGCACTCCCGCAATGTTCCACATACCCATTCTAATTATCTTATCTCTCACCGCCTCATTTGTAACCCTTATTATCATTGTCATATTATCAACCACAAACACCGCAAACTTCGGTGTTTTATCCCCAAAGGTCCAAATCTTATTCACAATCATGTGTACCTTCGCGATGTGAGGAGCTGTTTCCAGAAATCTCGCAATCACGAAGTCATTCCACAACGGATTCGCCTTCTCAATGATCTCAGATGGAACCTCCAATGATCTCTTACCATCCTCAATCGCAATCTCAAACTCGTACTTTTTAAGAATTTTTACCTTCTGCGCCACTCTAACCCAAGAATTCATAACCATCGGAACCGTCGGAGCCCGAGGAGGTGGATCCTCCAAATCCGTTGCCGGAGAACCCGGCAAAGTCATCCCAGCTGCCTGAGCCAGGTTGATTTCCACGATCGCCTTTTGAGTCCAAATCGCCTTGTTACCAATACGCTGTTTTTTTTTCTTTTTTTTTTTCTTAAAGCAGAGACCTCCTTTCCCCTTAACTTAAATCTACTGTAATTCAAATGGATTATAAGAGACGTCCACACAAGGGAGCTCTTTTTGTTTTAGTACTGTTTGGACTTCCAATATCTCCATTCTTGCTTGAGGCTCTTTTTGTTAACAGTTGGACGGAGCTTTTCGTAATCGATTTGTAGATGTAACATATGAATGTGCTATGTTGCTTCAAAATCTGAAGTCTCCTATGAATAAGAACCTCATTGTAATTTGTCAATAATATTTTTTACTTGTTTACAAAGTCAATTTTTATAAGGTCAGTCATATAATGTGTTGGAGGCACGACTGATAATTTTCATCCACTATATTGTCACTAGGGACTATAGTTATTGTCACTAGGGAATTGGGACTAAAGTTAATGTCACTAGGGACTAAAGTTGGAACAGATCTACAAAGACAGACAAAACAAACGTTGAACTTTTTTTTTTTTTTTTGTCGTGGTTTGTTGACAAGTTGTGTATCAAAGAATGTTAAGTTGTAATTGATGAACCATAATGTTTAGTATTTATATATATTGGTAAACCTAGTAGGACAAGTATATATGTTCAAATTTCATATTAATCTACTTAGAAAGTATAACATATTCCAACACCCCTTCCTCAAGTTGAAGCATATAATTTAGTTCACCCCAACTTGAAAATGAAATGATCAAATTCCTTGGGCCCAACGCTTTTGTTAAAATATTAATAGTTGTGCTAATGTCAACGTTCCCTTCCTCTATATATAGTTCATAGTTTGGGTCTGAATCAGTATCTCAAAGGGTCTCACTAAACTTTTCTTTTGCATTTGTGGGTTGTGCTCAAGATTTGATCCAACTACTGAAAGTTTCCTCGTTTAGTATTATTTTTTTCCTTTTTTTTAACCGGGATTAATGTCAATGGAAGGGTCAAGTAACGCTTCTTTGAGGGGGGGATTGTTACATGGTAACTTAGACATTTGTGTTAAGGAGGCTAAAAATCTTCCTAACATGGATCGGTTCCAGATGTATACGAAGAACAGTACAAGTGATCCGTTCGTGACTGTCTCTATCGCAGGTGCAGAGATTGGCACAACTTTTGTTATCAACAACAGTGAGAATCCTGAGTGGATGCAGCATTTCTATGTACCGGTGGCTCACCATGCGGAGGTGGTTAAGTTTGTGGTGAAAGACAGTGACCTATTTGGAGCCAAGTACATAGGAGAAGTCGTAATCCCAACCGAGCAGTTGTCTTCAGGGAATAGGATGGAAGGGTTGTTTCCGATACTTAACGGTAGTGGGAAGCCATGTAAAAAGGGTGCTGTGTTGAGTTTGACTATTCAGTACATTCCAGTGGAAATGATGAAAGTTTACCAAATGGGTGTTGGTAATGAGTGTGAAGGAGTTCCCGGTACATACTTCCCCTTGAGGAAAGGCGGTAGAGTTACTCTGTATCAAGATGCTCATGTTGAAGACGGAACACTTCCGAGTGTAGATCTCGATGGTGGGATGAAGTATATGCATGGAAAGTGCTGGGAAGATATGGCTGACGCGATTAGACAGGCGAGGAAGTTGATTTATATCACAGGTTGGTCAATATACCATCCGGTTAGGCTGGTTCGTCGCAATAACGATCAAACCGATGTTACATTAGGTTCTTTGCTCAAACAAAGATCTAATGAAGGTGTTAGAGTGTTGCTATTGGTGTGGGATGATCCAACTTCGAGGAGCTTTCCAAAGTACAGAACAGTAAGTGCCTAACTCTTAGAAACAATCCTTTAGTTGTTTCTTAACGTTGTTGTATGCGCGCAGCAAGGAGTTATGAACACAAGCGATGAGGAGACTCGTTATTATTTCAAGAACTCGTCGGTGCAAGTGATTATTTGTCCTAGATCGGATGCGGAAGGTCGCCACGGCATCGTAAAACACAGTGTAAGATGCTCAATAATTACTACATCGATTCTTAAACTCTTGTGTGTATAGTTTGATCAACTGAACCTCATTGTGATAATCAGGAAGTTGGAGCTTACTACACACATCATCAAAAAACTTTGATTGTAGATGCTGATGCAGGTCAGGGCCGAAGAAAGATCGTAGGGTTTTCGGAGGGTTAGACATGTGCAACGGACGTTTTGATACTCCTAGCCATCCTCTCTTTACGACACTGAAGACTCTCCATGAAGATGACTTCCATAACCCAAATTTTTTGGTAACCATTTTTTTTTTGGAGTTTAGATATACTACTCATGTTCTTCATCTGTTTAAATAATCTTTCAATTTTTCATATTATAGCCTAATACTGAAGATGGACCAAGACAACCGTGGCATGATCTGCACAGCAAAATTGATGGTCCAGCTGCATATGACCTGCTTGCTAATTTTGAAGAACGCTGGGAAAAAGCTTTACAGAAAAAACACAAAATTTGGAAACATGGGTCGTCTTCTGATGATGCTTTGCTTAAGATTGTCATGATACCTGAAATCATGGAACTATCAGAAGCTTCTTCTACTGATGATAGTGATCCAGAGTCTTGGCATGTTCAGGTAATTCAGAAAAGTGATGCATTATAATCATATGTGGTGGTGACAGAAGGATTCATCAGACACATGACGCATTTAATATATAATCTCATTTCTTTAGGTTTTCCGTTCAATTGATTCAACCTCGGTAAATGGATTTCCAAATAACTCAAAGGAGGATCCTGGAAGAGTAAGCACAACTCTGATTTACTTCCGTCTTGACCTTAGGGGTGTACACTTTATCCGCTACCCGAACTTGTACCCGAACCCGACCCGAAATATCCGAACCGAAATCCGAACCGAAGTAGTAAAATACCCGAACGGTATTGAGTTAGGAGAGTTTGGATATCCGAACCCGAGCGGGTAATACCCGAACCCGAACGGGTATCCAAAGATAACCGAACATATGTATATATACCTATTTATTCCTAGTTTATTTTTTCTCATTTTATTAAAACTATTTATATTAATGTTATATAGTTTAATATCAGATAATATACATATAATTGTAAAAAAAAATGATTTGTTACTCATTTAAAATGCATGTTAAGTTTCTTATTTCATACTTTAAACAAAATTTGCATCCAAAATTTTAAAATAATAACCAAAATAATGATTTTTATTTTCAATAATTTATTTTCAAACTTATTAATCGTCTAACTTATTAAACATTTTTAAAACAGTTAAGTTAATAGTTAAATTTTAAATACATGAAACTTAAGTAATAAAGAATTTAAAATTTCTTCAAAATCTAAATATCCGAACCCGATCCGAAATAACCGAACCCGAACTAAAAATATCCGAACCCGACCCGATATGTAAAAATACCCAAACGGGTTCTAAACCCCAATACCGAAATACCCAAAAAACCCGAAATACCCGATCCGAATTCGAACGGGTACCCGAACGTCCATCCCTACTTGACCTTGTCAATCACAAAGAATTAATGTTGCTACACTAAATATATACCGAATATAAATATGTGACCAGAATCTTCGATGTGGGAAGAATATACACATAGACATGAGCATACACGCGGCTTATGTTAAGGCCATAAGATCTGCTAAGCATTTCATTTACATTGAAAACCAATATTTTTTGGGATCATCATTCAACTGGGATTCACATAAGGACCTCGGTAAGAAAAATTTAAGCTTTTAAAGGAAATTTAATCAATGCATGCAATAATATATTACAAGGATTTTCTTGAAATGCAGGTGCTAATAATCTAATCCCTATGGAAATCGCGCTAAAGATTGCTAGTAAGATTAGAGCTAGGGAGAAGTTTGCTGCGTATATCGTCATTCCAATGTGGCCAGAAGGTGATCCAAATGATATGTTTATGCAGAGCATTCTATACTGGCAGGTAAAATACATTTTCCATAGTTTATCTGACTTGAACAACAATCTCGCATCCTTTATACTGAAATCTGTTTATCAACTCTGCAGTATAAAACCATGAAAATGATGTATCAGACTATCTACAAGGCACTTGTGGAAGCTGAACTTGATGATCAGTATGAGCCACAAGACTATTTGAACTTTTTCTGTCTTGGAACCAGAGAGGCTTCGAAAGAAATAGTTAGCAAACATAGTTCGCACAATCCATCTAAGAAAAGTGCAAAGCCAAATGCCGCACAGGTGTGTGTGTGTGTGTGTGTGTGACTCTTGTCGAAATCTTCGGTTTAATTAATGACATTCTTTTTTCACTAAAACAACGAAATAATCCAGGTGCAAGCTTTGAAGAGTCGAAGATTCATGATCTATGTGCATTCCAAAGGTATGGTAGTGGACGATGAGTTTGTCTTAATTGGCTCTGCGAATATCAACCAGAGATCCTTGGAAGGATCTAGAGACACTGAAATCGCCATGGGAGGGTATCAACTACACCATTCATGGGCTAAGAAAGGCTCTCGTCCTCGTGGTCAGGTAATAAATCTATCAAAGACTTTTCAATTAGAGTTTGCATGCTAATGAAGAATTCTTTCTTTGGCTTCGTGTAATTGGTCTGCAAGATATATTACATGATCTCTATAATATTTCTTATATTTATCTCTTCGAAAACATGGTTTCGTTTCAAGCAGATATTTGGATACAGAATGTCGCTGTGGGCTGAACATCTAGGGTTTCTAGAGAAATGTTTCGAAGAGCCAGAGAACATGGAATGTGTGAGACGGGTTAGGCATTTGAGTGAGGGCAACTGGAGACAGTATGCAGCAGAGGAAGTCACAGAGATGACAAGTCATCTTCTAAAGTATCCAGTTCAAGTGGATAGAACAGGCAAAGTAAGTTCTCTTCCTGGGTGCAAGACATTCCCGGATGTCGGTGGCAAGATCACAGGGCACGTTTCATGGGCTGGAATGAAACAATATCATCTGAAAATTACCTTGTAGTCCAACATCTGTTCTATATTTTTTCCTTTTCAAGAAACATCTTGAATGTGATCTGAATAAAAGTGTACCTCAAGAGTCGAATTGTGGTTTCTAAATCTATGAGCTGTAAATTGTGTTCATTACAATGTTACAGTCTTTCAGTTGATCTGTCAATTGTTTGCTTTTGATTATCTTACTATTAAAAGGAAAAAGTATCTTTAAAAATTGGGAAAGTAACAATTTTTTTTCTAAAAGAATATTGTTTAAAAATTAATTACACACAATCATTTTGGTATATTTTCAAAGGAAAAATCACATTAAAAACCTTCAGAGGATCATAAACTAACACTTTAATAAACATTGGAGTTTTTAACAAACACTTCTTTTTTTTTGGACAACCATTGTTTATATTAAATTAAAGACCACGTGGGATTCAAAGAGGAAATCTCAACGGTAAAACAAAGAAGAAAGACCATAACAACGAAACAAAGGATATATGCGTTAAAGGAAAGGAACAACCCATAGAGCAGCTTCACTTGGATCCTTAAAGCTGTTGTTCGAAACAAACATATATATATTGTAGTCGAAAATGACGTTGAAATACCCATATGAAAGGGTTTGAGAGCGGTGTCACCGTCTCTGATGGTGAAGAATTCTCCTTTGCGGCAGAGCTAGATGATGATGTTCTCTTCAGTAAAGAGAGAAGTATCCCGTCTTACCGGAGGAAGAATATGACACTGACCATTCTTAAACGAACATATCTTCATTTGTGGACCGGAAATGGTGTGATGATAAGCAACCAAACTCCCTTTCGGCTTGTATTATTGAAACAATTTGTGAGGACAGGGCGAAGCCTAGGTATGTAAGGTGCCATTTTTGTGGAGCTGGAGGATGCTACTTAGGAGAGGCTCGACAACTGTTGGGAACATCTGAAAAAAAAAAAAAAACTTTTTTTACTTCTGGATTTGACATTGAAACTCACATTGCATAGGAAGCTGGGCAGAGACCCAGTGATGAAGACGTATTCTTGAAGAAAACACAAATTGACGGTGTTTGGCTGTGATCAGAAATTGACTAGCTATTTAAATATTCAAAGGGGCATTATTATCATAACAACCTCCATTAAAGTTTATGCTCTTCAATAGATGATCGATACTGTTCGTTTCCTATGTTAAAATGATGACGTTTAATTATTTAAAAAAAAAAATTAACTAGATTTTGTTCCGCACTTTCCAAACGCTGGATTATTTTTGAAACAAATCAAATTTATATAATATAAATTTGTATGTTTGAATATGTATTTACATTTAAATATTAGTATATTACACATGAAGCATTATATTCAGTGTTACGAAACACAGCCTAGACCCGTTGTTAAACAGACAAAACTGATGATTTTATATGTAACCCAATTTTATTTTTTCTAAACTCATTATTTAAAAATTCTATAAAACTTCCAAAATTTCCGCTAAAACCTGAGACTCGATTACTGGTTCAAAAAGCGGGAATATGTTTGAAACAAACCAAATATATATGATAAATTTGAATTTTGATTATGTATCAACATTTATATGTTACACATAAAGCGTTATATTCAGTGTTCTGAAACATAATATGTACCTGTAGTTAAACCGACAAAACTCATGAATTTATATGTAACCCGGTTTGGTTTCAAGAAAAATTTGTTATAAGAATTCTATAAACCCTCAAAAAAAATAGTATATTAAGATTGATAGAGATTATTTTTGCAAGAATATTCAAAAGTATTTTGAAAGAGGTTAGCCATTAAGCAATCCATTAGATAGATATTGTTGGTACAAATTATATAGTTTTCTAGGCCCAAAAACTAAAAGATCATAATGCCATTATAAAAATAAAAATTTGTTCATAACATTAAAGATAATTTTAGAAAACGTAAATATCTCATTAAAGGGAATGATCCTTTTTAATGGTATTGATAAATAAACAAAAAATACATAAAATTTACTGAAAATTTCAAAATTGGAAAAATTCCTAAAAACTGAAAAAAAATTAAATTTAAGACTTAAAATAAAATAAAATATATTTAATAAATATAGAAAATAAAAACAAAAAATATATATTACAAATCTATAAATTTCCTTTTAAAATTTATAAATTCGAAAACATAATATTTAAAATAAAATCTAAAATAAAATTTAAAAATATTTAACCCCAAAATCATATACATTTTTAACTTTAATTTTTAAGTTTTAATATTTAGCTTCAGATTGTATTTTTTCATTTTAAATTTGATTTTTGAATTTTATATTTTTGAATTTTTTACAATTTGAAATCACTGAATTATAAATTTAAAAATAATATTTTAAATTTGTAATATGTTAATCGTTTTCTTATTTTATATATTTTTTTAAAAAAATGTTGTATTTTATTTTGCAGTCAGAAATTTTTAAATTTTCGATTTTTTGAATTTTTTCCAATTATTTGGATTTTTTGACTTTTTATGTTATTTGTGTATTTTTATTATTTTTTTAAAAGAAAACGCTACTTCATCATTTTACCTATGAAATGAACAATATGATGATGCTCTGCGTTTTACCACATGCTAATTAACCTAATGTGTTCTCTATCACAATTAAATGTTATATCGATGCAATACTTTAGGATCGAATCCATAGAAAACTAGTGATTGGTAACACTACAAATACACAAATCTCTTTAATCTAAGCAAATAGAAAGGTGATGTGAGTTCTAAATTAATGAAATGGAAAAACAACTAATAACTACTACTAGAAATAAACTAAGAAAGACAAGCTCTTGGGTATGTCAATTGATCAGAGATAATTTACTTCTGATTTAGATACCAAACATGATCGACTAACAAATGCTCTAAAGGTCTAATCTGGTTAAAATAGATTAATCCACTTCTGTGGCAGAAACCCCTACGCTAATCATGAATTAAACATCAACTTCCGCTGGCCTAACGCAATCAAACATGCATGTGTCATTAGTCTACTAACCACTAAACATCTCGGGCATTAACTTTTGTTGACCAAATCTGTAAAGGACAATACTAAGTTCGTTCAAGCATTTCAACAAACACCTTCCGGGCGTGAAATAACTTCGAATCTAGATCTGAGAGATCAAGTCAGATCTAGCATTAAGAACCCTTAGAAAGCTTAAAACAATGTTAATCTAGCCTTAAACATCATCAGTCATCCAGCTTTCACTCTAATCTGGCAATCCAAAAGCTCTAAAAATGTACTCACTATAAACCATAGAATCCCAAGAATCTATCATAGATCCTTGAAGAATCATGTTTGAAAAATTCATGAGTAGAAAATATATAAACAAGATAAATTATAGATTAATGTAAGAAATAACTAAGAGTTTTTAGATCCATGAAGAAGAGAAAACTACAAAAAGCTGGTTGAGGTAGCTTAACGTTTTTATCACCCTTAGCAACATATATATAGGCACTGTGGCATGTCGTTAATTGCCTCTAGCACTAATGGCCTTCAAAGCACAAGGCCCAAACAAAACAGTTTTCCTAGAGCATCAATATGCAAGATGCATCTTTCCTAAAGTGGTCACTTCAAGGCTCTAGGTAACTTCACAGATTTCCCGATAACAACAAATTGTTGAAGACAAGTTCCTGAAATAAGGACTTTTGAGCTATAGGTGAAACCCTATTTCTTCTTCTTTTTCCTCTTTACCGCTTAAGGTCTTGAGCTCGGGTCCTATCTGACTTTGGCCCAAAAACTTATGTTTTGTGCAGATTAATTCTTGATTTCGCCCCAAAACTATAGATTGAGCACTCCAGCTCTTATGATGCAAATATGTACATATACAACTTCTAATGACACCTAAATACAATCTTGAGACATTATAATGACCAAAATCAATAGCTAAAAATATGCAAAAATGACACTTATCACTCTACCGGACAAATGTTTTACTTGAAAAACAAGTAAACCTTATTGGAGGTTTGTTATGATAAAAATGTCATTTGATGGTTTAGAGTGCTAGTCAAAAAAATTCAATGTTTAATGTATTTAGTATTTGACACTATGATGTTTTAAGGGTCTTTTTAAAAAATTACTCAAAACTCCAAGTCAACCACAAAATTAACCTTTTTTGATATTTCATTTGTCTAATCTACCCCAGAAGTTCTTATTATTCACGGAAATGCTATTCCTTTTTATTTTTAACTTTTTCAAAAATTAATTTTTTATTCTTTCATCCTCATCTTCATCAATTAATCACGAAAGTGCCATTACCATCAGTTCACCCAACAACCATAAACAACCAAAATGAAACTCTTAACGCATCTAAAAAATGAAATTTACTCATTCATTCTTATAACTTATGTCCACAAACTACATCTATCTCACTTTCTATCTATAGTCATTCAAAAAAATCCAAGCTTTTTGATTCTAAAATTTTTAAGGGTCATATAGCCATTCAAACTCACGATTTCTGGTCATTAACGATTGAGTAGATGTTATGTTGAAGTTGTGTGTGCTTGGAGAACTAAGCAAGATATCTCAGTGGTTGTTGAAGATATGAAATGAACTTTTTCCCATATTTATTCGCTAGAAAACTTGTGTAAGTCTTCGTAAGTCTTCTGGTCATAGAACTAAGTAAGTTACAGAAGTCTTCTGGTCAAAGAATATGTTAGTTTTGCAATTGACTTTTTGTGTGTTTTTAGAGAAGGTTGTCGTTGAACCAACTTTTCTTTGTTGACAAAAAAAAATCGAGAAGACTTACCTGGAAGACTTCTCAGATAAACATGTTAGTTTTGCAATTGACCAATATGTGTCGGAAATTTGACTTTGTACGGAAGACTTCCACGTAAGTCCCCAGCGGAAGACTTACCTGGAAGTCTTCTAAACCTTTACATTAAGCCTATTGAAGTTTGCGTAGGTTACTTTTTCAATTGAAAATTTAATCTGAAAACATTTAATTTAATTTGGGAGACTTTCAGGTAAGTCTTCTGCCAAAAGACTTACCTGGAAGTCTTCCAGATTTTTATTTCGTGA